ATACATTTATAGTCCCTCTTTTCCTGCCATAGCTTATCCTTCAACATTATTGCTACTCCTTCTTTAGCTCTAACTCTATTTGAAACCCCTGACCTAATCCCATTTATTCCTCTCCACTGAAACTCTCCCACCCCCTTCAGCTTTGTTTCACTTAAAGCCAGGACATCCAGCTTCTTCTCATTCATAACATCCACAATCATCTCTTTCTTATCATCTGCACAACATCCACGCACATTCAGACTTCCCACTTTGACAATTTTCTTCTTCTTATTCTTTTTAGTAATCTTTACAGGAAAAGGGGTTACTAGCCCATTGTTCCCGGCATTTTAGTTGACTTTTACAACACGCATGGCTTACGGAGGAAAGATTCTTATTCCACTTCCCCATGGATAAAAAGGAAAATTAATAAGACCAAGAACTATTAAGATAAAATCAAAGAAAACTCAGATGAGTGTGTATAAATAAATGTGTACATGTATTTGTAGTGTGACCTAAGTGTAAGTAGAAGTAGCAAGACATGCCTGTAATCTTGCATATTTATGAGACAGACAAAAGACATCAGCAATCCTACCATCATGTAAAACAATCCCAGGCTTCGTTTTACACTCACTTGGCAGGACGGTAGTACCTCCCTGGGTGGTTGCTGGAAATTAGGAGAAGGTGTGGAGTTAATAAAAGCATTAGTCAGAGGGCAGAAGAGGGGTTGTTGAGGTGGTTTGGTCATTTAGAGAGAATGGATCAAAGTAGAATGACATGGAAAGCATATAAATCTATAGGGGAAGGAAAGAGGGGTAGGGGTCGTCCTCGAAAGGGTTGGAAAGAGGGGGTAAAGGAGGTTTTGTGGGTGAGGGGCTTGGACTTCCAGCAAGCGTGCATGAGCGTGTTAGATAGGAGTGAATGGAGACGAATGATACTTGGGACCTGACGATCTGTTGGAGTATGAGCAGGGTAATATTTAGTGAAGGGATTCAGGGAAACCGGTTATTTTCATATAGTCGGACTTGAGTCCTGGAAATGGGAAGTACAATGCCTGCACTTTAAAGGAGGGGTTTGGGATATTGGCAGTTTGGAGGGATATGTTGTGTATCTCTATACGTATATGCTTCTAAACTGTTGTATTTCTGAGCACCTCTGCAAAAGCAGTGATAATGTGTGAGTGTGGTGAAAGTGTTGAATGATGATGAAAGTATTTTCTTTTTGGGGATTTTCTTTCTTTTTTTTTTTGGGTCACCCTGCCTCGGTGGGAGACGGCCGACTTGTTGAAAAAAAAAAAAAAAAAACAAAAATATATATATATATTATATATATATATTTATTATATATATTATATATATATAAAATATTATTATATATATATATATATATATTTCTTTCTTACTTTCTTTCTTTCTTTCAACACACCGGCCGTATCCCACCAAGGCAGGGTGGCTCGAAAAGAAAAACGAAGTTTCTCTTTTAAATTTAGTAATTTATACGGGAGAAGGGGTTACTTGCCCCTTGCTCCTGGCATTTTAGTCGCCTCTTACAACACGCATGGCTTACGGAGGAAGAATTCTGTTCCACTTCCCCATGGAGATAAGAGGAAATAAACAAGAACAAGAACTAGAAAGAAAATAGAAGAAAACCCAGAGGGGTGTGTGTATATATATGCTTGTACATGTAAGTGTAGTGTGACCTAAGTGCAAGTAGAAGTAGCAAGACATACCTGAAATCTTGCATGTTTGTGAGGTAGACAAAAAACACCAGCAATCCTACCATCATGTAAAACAATTACAGGTTTTCATTTTACGCTCACTTGGCAGGCTTGTAGTACCTTCCTGGGCGGTTGCTGTCTACCAACCTACTATATATATACATTAAAAAGAAGAATACTGAAAGGCATGTTGAAAGAAAGTATGTTGACAATGCTAATGGAAACAAGTACTATTTGATAGTTGAAGGATCTAGAAGGGAGACAAGGAGACGGAAACTTTCAATAGGGTGAAAAGCACGTACGAGGAAGATAGAAAGCTAAATAATTGGTACAGGGAAGATTGGGGGAGGGGGAGGGGGTTACAATTAGTAGAGGTTGAGGGAGAGTTGGGAATTAAATGGAGAGGAAAAAAAAAAAGAGGGAAAATAGGTGCAGGAAAGATTGAGGAAAATACTAACAGGTACAGATAAGTTTGCCAGAATGGGTCCTGGCCCTGGTCTTCTTCTTGCATGACCTGGCAGTGGCTCCTCATAGGGAAGTGTTGTTATGCTTTTATTGAGGTGGCGGGTAGCAGGCAATGATCAGCAGCAACATCCTTAGGTTCTTGACTGCAAGATACACAAGGTGTGTTGCCCTGTTCTCCCAGGTCTGTCCAACAGTCTATTGTGGGATGAGGCAGTTGTGTAGGGGCATTGTAGCAGAACAGTCCAGCAGGTAATGCACAAGTGGGAGCTTGACCATCTGCTCACAGTGGGTGTGCTGCTCCCTTCTTCATTGCCCGATTATATGTGCCAGTGTCATGAACCCAAGTTGTAGTTGGTGAATGGCCACATGTTGCTCTCTAGTCCACATATGCATTGGGGAAAGTAGGGAAACAGGCACATGAGAGATTAATGTAGAAAATGGGCAACCAAATGCTTGGAAGAGTAAAGGCTTGAGGAAATATATTTAGTAAAGATGGAGAGAGAGAGAGTGGGTAAATAGATGCTTGGCAGATTTGTGGGTAAATAGATGCTTGGCAGATTTGGGGATAATGTAGGAAAATAGGTGTAGGAAAAATTGAAGAAGATAATGTAAGGAATAAGTGACAAGAGAGTTTGGTAATAGGTGGATGGACTATGGAAAGAATAAAGAAACAGATGAGGGAGATAATAAATAATTGTAGGAATGATGAAAGAGGAGAGTGGATTAAGTATTTGCAGGTATTTATATCAGCATTGTGTTACTGGAATGACTGTTGGATGCATTGGATAGCTTAATGACAGTGTTTTCCTATGCATTGAACCTCATCAAGTCAGTAGAGAATACATGGGAACGAGGAATATATACTTTTTTTTTTTTAACAAGTTGGCCGTCTCCCACCGAGGCAGGGTGACCCAAAAAGAAAGAAAATCCCCAAAAAGAAAATACTTTCATCATCATTCAACACTTTCACCTCACTCACACATTATCACTGTTTTTGCAGAGGTGCCCAGAATACAACAGTTTAGAAGCATATACGTATAAAGATATGCAACATATATACACAGGTGCATAAAAATGAAGGTGAGGTGCATGGGAGTATCTCATGGTGAGGGAGCACATCATTATGTATATATTTAACTATTATGTTGGCTGCTGGAGCCTTGGATAACCTGCAAGTATGGTGTAAGCCAAATTTTAGTTACCATGAAGCTACCTTGCTTCAGTGACATAAGTGTTAGAAGTACTGTGGGTTGGTTGGCAGCACACTCAGCTCCCAGCATGGGTGGAAACGTTTAGCAAGTTTCCTTACATCTAGCAGCAAGTAGGTGCCTGGATGTTAGTAGACTGTTATAGGTCGCATCCTAGGGGTGGTTGTATACCTTAGGTCTAGACTTCGAAATAAGCTGAGGTAGGATAACAGCTCTTAACCTGTAAAATTGATTTGTGTAAAAAAAAAATTACTGTAATGATTAGAGCAGATTCCAAATATAATTTTCTATCTTTGTCTCATTCTTTGAGAACGGGTTTAGAATTTGTCTATTTCAAGATGTGATTGTTGGTGTCTCAATATACGTATAACGTGATTTGTTTTTATTTTGCTTAATAATATGGACTGATATTCATCCTGCAGTGCTCCCTTGCCCTAAGATACTCCCATGCCCCTTTCTTATATATTCTCTATTTTTTTTTGTTTTTTCGACAAACCAGTCGTATCCCACCAAGGCAGGGTGGCCCAAAAAGAAAAACAACAGTTTCTCTTTTTAAATTTAGTAATATATACAGGAGAAGGGGTTACTAGCCCCTTGATCCTGGCATTTTAGTCGCCTCTTACAACACGCATGGCTTACGGAGGAAGAATTCTGTTCCACTTTCCCATGGAGGTAAGAGGAAATAAACAAGAACAAGAACTAGAAAGAAATTAGAAGAAAACCCAGAGGGGTGTGTATATATATGCTTGTATGTTTAGTGTGACCTAAGTGTAAGTAGAAGGAGCAAGACGTACCTGAAATCTTGCATGTGTATAAGACAGAAAAAAAAAAAAAAAGACGCCAGCAATCCTTCCATCGTGTAAAACAATTACAGGCTTCCGTTTTACACTCACGTGGCAGGACGGTAGTACCTCTGTGGGCGGTTGCTGCCTACCAACCTACTACCTAGGATATTCTCTATTAACTTGATAAAATCTGTAGGTGAAATGCTGTCGTTAATTAAGACATCCACTTCATCCATGTATCATTTGCTTCATTTTTACAATGTGGTGTTGAGTTACTGTAAGAAGTATTTAATTGAATGTAGGTATTTAAAAACTTTAACTTCTGTACAGGTGCTCCTTGACTTAAGATGGGGTTACGTTCTGACAAACCCATCGTAAGTCGAATGTCAATATGATAGGCTAAATAAATAAATAAATACATTTAACTACTTTCACTTAATAAGTAAATAAATAATTACCATAAATAACTAAATACCAGATTGAAAAGTATATAAATGAATACAATTTATGAACTTTTTGCCTTCATGCTGAGTAATTATCTGAAGTCTAATCTCCAAGGTAATTGCTTTTGTGCCATTGTAAAGTTGAAATATCATAAGCTGAACCATTGTAAGTTGAGGAGCCCTTGTATTAAGTGTTATTTGCTACAGTGATGCTTGCTGATGGGTAACTACTGAGTTTCTTGTGGTGGTTCCCGAGGTTTCACAGTTCTCATAGCTCTGGTTTCTGGCCTGTCCTCCTGAAAGAATCTGCATATGCATTTCATTAATTATATTCTAGCTTTGCAAAATTTTACCAAATTTAAAATAGTTTTGATACCAAACTATTAAAAAAGCATTTATGTTTCAGATATAATCCTGAGACAAGGAGATTAGCCTCAACACAGGGAGAAATTCGTGTAGGTCCATCACATCAGGCCAAACTTCCTGAGTATAGGTAATGAACTATATTTGTGGGAAAGTGTGGCACCCGAGGAGAAATGGCAGTGGAGAAAGCATACTGAAATTTTGTTGTGGATGATATGTACCTTACAGTTTTATTCAAAATGGTATCCAGCTATGATGTATGAGGTTGGGTATTTTGCTTTCTTTTGCAAACTCAAAATTACATTAGCAAGTGATTGTTATAGTTTAAAAAAACAATGTTCTACTATTGGGCTGATGCGCAGGTGTTTAGGCACATCATTAGAAATGTCATAACGGTTATATTATTGTCTCCTGGGAAAACAGAAAAAAATACTCCAGTTCCAAAGAAAAATGCCAACATGTAGAGAGAATGGAGCAAAACAGAGTGACTTCAAGAGTGTATCAGTCTGTAGTGGAAGGAAGGCGGGGTAGGGGTCGGCCTAGGAAAGGTTGGAGGGAGGGGGTAAAGGAGGTTTTGTGTGCGAGGGGCTTGGACTTCCAGCAGGCATGCGTGAGCGTGTTTGATAGGAGTGAATGGAGACAAATGGTTTTTAATACTTGACGTGCTGTTGGAGTGTGAGCAAAGTAACATTTATGAAGGGGTTCAGGGAAACCGGCAGGCTGGACTTGAGTCCTGGAGATAAGAAGTACAGTGCCTGCACTCTGAAGGAGGGGTGTTAATGTTGCAGTTTAAAAACTGTAGTGTAAAGCACCCTTCTGGCAAGACAGTGATGGAGTGAATGATGGTGAAAGTTTTTCTTTTTTGGGCCACCCTGCCTTGGTGGGAATCGGCCAGTGTGATAAAAAAAAAAAAAAAAAAAATCTGCATTTAATGAGTAGAACCTTAACTGTTTCCATAGTTCTTCTGTGAGTGACTCGTGAAAATTGGTCATAACTTGTGTATATAAAAAAGACAGGAAAAAAGAACCTCATCTATAAAGACTAGGGGTACAGTAGTTTACTTTATTACTAAATATAGTGAACCTGTCTTATACAAGAATATGCTATTAAATTATACTAATTGTTAACTGTTTGTTTATTTTTTATTCTTGAAGGGGTAATGTTATAATAGAAGAGAGGCCAGAGGTGTGTGCGGATTGGGAGGAGCAGCGCTGGATTCCTGGAGCTTCAAGGGACACCGATCTTCTCATGTACCTGCGAGCTGCTCGTTCTATGGCTGCGTTTGCAGGTCTTTGTGATGGTGGCTCTACTACTGATGGATGCAATGCTGCATCCCGTGATGATACAACCATTAATGCCCTCGAAATGGTTGGTGTAGAAATGTTTAATAAAGCGTTGATATAAAATATTGACACAAGGGATAAATACATAAATGTATTGATCCCTTGTGTCAGTATAAAAAAGGAGCACTAATATAACAATAGAGGATCACATAATACTTCATTTGTGTGTAGTCACAGAAATGATTTAGTGGATTTGTAAAAGCTTATTGTAGATCGCTCTTTTGTTTTACTAAACCTGACCCCTCTTGTTCAGAATAATGACTTATTGGCAATGTCAGAATTTATGGAGAACCTGAGCTGTAAAAATTACATGTGTCTCCCCAATTACAAGAAAATGTCTAGTTTGAGAGATTTCCCAAATTAACTTTTTAGGTATTGCACTTGTTTTTACAGGTATTGCATTATGCATTAATCAAGTACAGTGGACCCCCAGTTTATGATATTATTTCATTCCAGAAGTATGTTCAGGTGCCAGTACTGAACGAATTTGTTCCCATAAGGAATATTGTGAATTAGATTAGTCCATTTCAGACCCCCAAACACACACGTACAAACGCACCTACATAAATACACTTACATAATTGGTCGCATTGGGAGGTGATCGTAAACCGGGGGTCCACTGTATTTTAAATTCAACCATGACTGTGTCATTGCCTTAGAGTGTATTTTACCAAGTGAGTATCAGCAAGTGATATTTACTCTTCATTGTTCCGCCTCTTAGTGTTTACATTTAATCTGCCCAATATATATAATGTTATGTGTATAAATCTATAGGGGAGGGAAGGTGGGGGTAGGGGTCGTCCTAGGAAAAGTTGCAGGGAGGAGGGGGTAAAGGAGATTTTGTATGCGAGGGGCTTGGACATCAAGCAGGCATGTGCGAGTGTGTTAGGAGTGAGTGGAAGTAAGTGGTTTTTATGACTTCACGTGCTGTTTGAGTGTGAGCAAGGTAACATTTATGAAGGGACTTGAGGAAACCAGTTAGCCGGACTTGAGTCCTGGAGGTGGGAAGTACAGTGCCTGCAGTCTGAAGGAGGGGTGGGGATATTTGCAGTTTGGAAGGGCATCTGAGCTGTAGTACTATCAGCATACTTCTGGCAAGACAGTGATGGAGTGAATGATGGTGGAAGTGTTTCTTCTTGTTTGGGTCACCCTGTCTTGGTAAGAGATAGCCAGTGTGTTAAAAAAAATGTATTATTGACAATGTTATTGGAAAAGGAGAAACCCATAAGACACAAATAAACAAGATATAGGAGTTGAATGTTTCTGCCTTTCATGTCTTTTTTAGCAGATAGTATTTGAAGAGATACAGTAGTACAATACAAAATTATTGGTGCTTCTCCTTAGATATAAAACTGAATAGACAGTCATCATAGAGAATATTAGTTTGTAATAAGTACTGTGTAGACAGCTGATGATAGCTATGTTTTTCAGATTTATTGAACTGATGATCATGTAAAGTATGTGATTGTATGAAACGTTGAAGGCTTGAACCTCCTTTGGAGAATTGAACCTCCTTTCCTGACAAGAGCCACGAATATGACTACATAAAACACCTAGGTCAGGTGGCCTATAGAATTAGTAGATTTGACATTGGTCTGGGTTTTGAGATGAGTGAGATAACCATTTTTTATTTGATAAGTGCATTTATTCCGTTACAGCTCCACAATAGTGACTATGACCATGGTAAAGCTCTCCAAGCTCTTGTCAAGTGCCCTGTTCCTGATGGAATTGAAAAAAAGTGGTCAGAAGAAGAACGAGTGAGTGAATTTTTGTTTTCCTATAAGTTTCTTTAAGTTTCCCATGTTTATTGTAGAACTTGTATTTATTTTTATTAATATACTTTTATACTTTATTGATATCAAAGTAATATTTTGTGAAGAGATTCAGGGAAACAAGTTAACTAGACTTGAGTCCTGGAGTTGGGAAGTACAGTGCCTGCAATCTAAAGGAGGGGTTTGGGATATTTGCTGTTTAGAGGGACGTTTACATTGTTGTATCTGTGTGCCTTTGGCAAGTCAGTGATAGTGCAAATGATGGTGAAAGTGTTTCTTTTTTGGGTTACCCTACCTTGGTGGGAGACTGCCAGCATGTTAAAAAAAACAGGATAGTATCCAAGTATCAGTCAGTAGCTTCATTTCATAGTTGAAATAGATAATTTTACCTATTTGAGATGCAGTTGAGATGAGTTTGCATTGGGGAGTTCTGTTTCTAGCTCTTAAATCAACCTCTTAATATTTGATTGGCTGACATAAATTTGCTTTATCGTATGTTTGTGTAAACTTCTGCGTAGTGTTGGTATTTACTATGTTGAAGTCTAGCTCATTCAACATTTTTTATTGTTCTTCTTTCAACAAACCGGCCATATCCCACTGAGGCAGGGTGGCATTCCCCCCCCCCCACACACACACAAAAAAAAAGTTTCTTTTTAAATTTTGTAATTTATACAGGAGGAGGAGTTACTAGCCCCTTGCTCCTGGCATTTTAGTCGCCTCTTATGACATGCATGTCTTACGGAGGAAGAATTGTGTTCCTCTTCCCCATGGAGATAAGAGGAAATAAACAAGAACAAGAACTAGTAAGAAAATAGAAGAAAACCGAAAGGAGCGTTTTTTTTTTTTAACAAGTCGGCCGTCTCCCACCGAGGCAGGGTGACCCAAAAAGAAAGAAAATCCCCAAAAAGAAAATACTTTCATCATTCAACACCTTCACCTCACTCACACATAATCACTGTTTTTGCAGAGGTGCTCAGAACACAACAGTTTAGAAGCATATACGTATAAAGATACACAACATATCCCTCCAAACTGCTAATATCCCAAAACCCCTCCTTTAGAGTGTAGGCATTGTACTTCCCATTTCCAGGACTCAAGTCCGGCTATATAAAAATAACCGGTTTCCCTGAATCCCTTCACTAAATATTACCCTGCTCACACTCCAACAGATCGTCAACTCCCAAATACCATTCATCTCCATTCACTCCTCATTTCTGTAGTAATTTTATAAGTGAGGCATCCTTTTTATACTATTCAGATTGCTACAATTTTTCTTTGTAATACCTGTTAATTGTTTTTCTTAGTAATGCCTTGTAATCATGTACTGTGCAGTGGTGCTATAGAGTACTGTTACCCCCTTGTGAACTTAAATTTAGAGAATTAATTGCAAGATTTGAAACTAATTTATCTTAATTTTAATTATATTTTAACCATTTTTTTTATTTGTTTTGAGGAAGCTATGTACATTTTTACAAGAAGGATCTTTTAGTCAAATTATATATCAATTAATGCCCTTCAAGTTTGTTTTTATTTCCACAGAAACGTTTTATGAAGGGATTACGACAATATGGGAAAAATTTCTTCCGAATAAGAAAAGACTTGTTGCCACACAAAGAAACAGTAAGTAACTTCTAATAATTATTAAAGCCTGATAGACAGTATTGTCAAATAAGTAGAAATATCATGTAAATGTTTGTTGTTTATGCCTCAAAATTACCTTTGTTGTGTTTTTATTAAAGTGGAAAAGAAATATAATTATTCGTGGTTGGTAGATATTTGTTGATGTATGAATACTGTCATGTTTATAGTGATAAACGTATTATAGAGTGAGGGGTGAACTCTGTTCCTGCATCTAAACCTTTGGCCGACCAAAATGGAAGTACCACCTGTCATATTCATCTTTGAGCCCCTATAGAGAAAGTACAGCCTCTCCTCAATTAATGACGGAGTTCCATTCCTAAGACTACATCGGTAAACAAATGCATTGCTAAGTGAGGAGCATACTATAATGGTAGTGGGTTTGTGTCAACCATCTTCGATAATGTTTTAGTGTACTGTTGATCCATTTACAGTATAACATTTCTGGTATATTTTTAAATATTCAATATACAGTAGTGTACTGTTTATTGTAATAAACAGAATAGAGGAAATCAGTTCTGATATACAATATTTAGGTATGCACACTGGTTAGAGAGCCCGTCATGTGTCTGAGTCATCGGTAAACGAGGAGAGGCTGTACTTTCATTGTGCTCTAGTTCATCTCATTTAATTTTAGCACTTACATTGAAATATTTTATGTGGGCTTATTTTGGTGTACAGTTTCCAGCTGTGTTGTTTTATTCTTGTTTTATCTTTGGTAAAGAGCCTGTGCTTATCTACTCTGTCTGTACATTGAAGTATTTTGTATATCATGACATACATATCTACTATTCATCATTCTTCCAGCAACTCCTAAGTTTTATGTTTGCAATATTTTATCCAGCATTTAGGACTTTTACTAGTCTTGTCTAGAGAAGCCTGCAAATACAGTGGACCCCCGGTTAACGATATTTTTTCACTCCAGAAGTATGTTCAGGTGCCAGTACTGACCGAATTTGTTCCCATAAGAAATATTGTGAAGTAGATTAGTCCATTTCAGACTCCCAAACATACACGTACAAACGCACTTACATAAATACACTTACATAATTGGTCGCATTCGGAGGTAATCGTTATGCGGGGGTCCACTGTATACAATTTAAAAAATGTTTTAATTGTTATGTAGTTATAGCTTTATAAATGAGTGGAACTAGTGTACTGCCCTTTTTGCTGACTAAACATTTCTTATTTCAGAGTGACTTGGTATCATTCTATTACCTTTGGAAGAAAACTCCAGCAGCAGCTGGCCACAGGCCGCACCGCCGACACCGCCGTCAGAATGTATTAAGAAGGATTCGAACCCCTCGAGCTCAGCGTAACACAGGCCCTAGTGACCCACTTGATCCTTCTTCTGCATCGGAAAAAGATGATGATTCAGATGACTCTGATTCCAAGGACCGCCAGGGGTATCATTGCAGACACTGTTACACTACTTGTGAGTTAAAAGTTATATTGATTAGGTGTCATATTTTGCATAGTGCTGTTATTAGTACAGTCTTATTGTGATGATGGTTGTGGTCAGGGTATTGGTAATGTATTTTCATCTCCAAGATGATGTTATCTGCCCTGCCATCATTAATTTGCTTCATATTTTATCATTATGCTGCCTATGTAGCATAAGAGGATATATTACCCCACTTCAAATGTCAAAGGGGATGTATTTAGTAGGTAAGGAATTTCAGTTTTATCCTCAAACTTTCAAACACAGTTTATCTTGAAATAAAGCAGTGGAATAATTCAGGAAGAAGTGTTAGCAAAACATTTTGTGCAGCATAGCTAAACCTGTTTCAGCATCTCGTGACTGGCATCATGCAGGGAAAGATAAGCAACTACTCTGTTTTGAATGTCGTATTCACTTCAAGAGATACGGAGATTTGCCAGTCATCACAAATCCTCGTGAGCCTCCCCCTGGGTCTGGTCGACCACCACCAACTCCCACAGAAGAAGATTTACGAATGAGAACTCGCACACGATCCAAGGAAATAAGCACTCGTCACCGCGTGTCCAGACGTTCACGAGCAAACACTCCTGATATGACTGATGAGTGTCCTACGCCTGACAGGAGAACTCCAGATAGACGAACTCCTGACAGAAGAGCATCTCGACTTTCAGCCTCTCCAGCTCCTAAAAAGGTATGAATTGCATGAATGAATATTAGTTAGTATATAAACAGTAATAACAATGTAATTACTGTATTCAAAAAGGTTAGATTGGTTTACTCTAATATGATACAAAGAAAATTATGTAATACCCATAAGTTTGTTATTAGGATATTTGTTCATGATTAGGATATTTGTATGTAGGATATTTGTATACATGCATACATACATACATTTACTGTCCTACATCCACATATTCACCTCTATTTCTGTAATTAATGAGATACTATACCCCATTCTTCCTAAATTGGTTACAGAATATTTAAATTGGTGTTGCAGGTGGAGGACAACAAAAGTGTGCGACAGATAAAGCGCACACTTGGTTCCGATGAAACGTCAGGCTCTTCTACCCCGAACAAGAGAAAGCGCAGTGGTGACGTATGTATCTGCTTAATGTTGTGCTTTCTTGCTTCAGGGGAATGCCTTAATGATGCTGAAGGGCTCTTGGTCCAAAGAATTAGAACTAGCTCCTTTCAGTGCAGGTGAAATTCCAGAACTGGTGTAAATGAAGAGTGAAATATTGTACTGAATCAATAAAAAAAATTCTAAGGTTTTAAAATATTTGGATTTGCTTAATGAATTTTTTTTTTTTTTTTTTAACAAGTCGGCCGTCTCCCACCGAGGCAGGGTGACCCAAAAAGAAAGAAAATCCCCAAAAAGAAAATACTTTCATCATCATTCAACACTTTCACCTCACTCACACATAATCACTGTTTTTGCAGAGGTGCTCAGAATACAATAGTTTAGAAGTTTATACGTATAAAGCAACACAACATATTCCTCCAAACTGCCAATATTCCAAACCCCTCCTTTAAAGTGCAGGCATTGTACTTCCCATTTCCAGGACTCAAGTCCAGCTATATAAAATAACCGGTTTCCCTGAATCCCTTCACTAAATATTACCCAGCTCACGCTCCAACAGCTCGTCAGGTTTCAAATACCATTCGTTTCCATTCACTCCTATCTAACACGCTCACGCACGCTTGCTGGAAGTCCAAGCCCCTTGCCCACAAAACCTCCTTTACCCCCCTCCCTCTAATTCTTTCGAGGACGACCCCTACCCCGCCTTCCTTTCCCTGCAGATTTATATGCTCTCCATGTCATTCTACTTTGATCCATTCTCTCTAAATGACCAAACCACCTCAGCAACCCCTCTTCAGTCCTCTGGCTAATACTTTTAGTAACTCCACACCTTCTCCTAATTTCCACACCCCAAATTTTCTGCATAATATTTACACCACACATTGCCCTTAGACAGGACATCTCCACTGCCTCCAACCGCCTCCTCGCTACAGCATTTACAACCCAAGCTTCACGCCCATATAAGAGTGTTGGTACCACTATACTTTCATACATTCTCTTCTTTGCCTCCATAGATAACGTTCTTTGTCTCCACATATACCTCAACGCACCACTCACCTTTTTTCCCTCGTCAATTCTATGATTAACCTCATCCTTCATAAATCCATCCGGTGATACGTCAACTCCCAAATATCTGAAAACATTCACTTCTTCCATACTCCTCCCCAACTTGATATCCAATTTTTCTTTATCTAAATCATTTGACACCCTCATCACCTTACTCTTTTCTATGTTCACTTTCAACTTTCTACCTTTACACACACTCCCAAATTCGTCCACTAACCTCTGCAATTTTTCTTTAGAATTGCCAATAAGCACAGTATCATCAGCAAAAAGTAACTGTGTCACTTCCCATGAAAATATTTATACATAATCCTGTAATAGGAAAATAGATCCTCTTATGTGAATGGTAGTTGGGGGTGAATTTCCTCCTGCTTTTCTGCCTGCTTCTGAGTTGTTCTTCAAATAATTCTATGCCCTTCTCTTCCAAAAGAGTCCCTTGATATATTTTGTTCTTCCTCCTCCACAATCCTTGTTAACTACATAATTCCTCTGTGATTATTAATAACCATGAATACCACAAATTTTGCCACCAAGACTTATGAGCAGATTGATCCACCTCATCCCATAATGGCTTTACTTTTGTAATTATATCTAAAGTTTTAAACCAGCACAAAAATTCTGTGGCTCTACTCTGCATTCTCATCCATCACTCTGAAAGGCTTCCACAACATCTTGCCTGTAAAATTTTACTTTACCTGAAAAGAGGAAACACTTTTACTATCACTCACTATCTTGCCAGAGACGTGCCGACATTACATCTCAGATTCCCCTCTAAACTGCAATATCTCCACCCCTCCTTCAGAGTGCAGGTATTGTACTTTCCACCTCCAAGACCTAAGTCTGGCTAACCAGTTTCCCTTAATCCCCATAAATATTATCTTGCTCACACTCCAACAGCACATCAGATCACTAAAACCGCTTGCTCCTATGTAACACGTTTGCACACGGCTGTTGGGTGTCCAAACCCCTTGGACGCAAAACATCCTTTACCCCCTCCCTCCAACCTTTCTAAAGATGACTCCTTCCCCGTCCTCCCTCCACTAAACATTGAGACATCCTTCAAGTCATCCTATTTTGCTCCATCCTCTCTAAATGTCTGGGCCACCTTAATAACCCCTTCTCAGCCCTCAGAATAATATTTTTTAGTAATCCTGTATCTCCTTATTTCCATACTAAAATTTTCTGCATAATATTCACACCACACATTGCCCTCAGACACGGCATCTCTGTTGTCTTCAGCTTCCTCCTCGCTGCAATGTTTAAAACCCATTCTTCTAACCCATATAAGAGTGTTGGTACCACTATATTGTACATTTCCCTCTTTGCCTCCCTGAATAAGGTTCTTTGTCTCCACAGATGCCTCGTGCACCACCTACCTTTTTTTTTTTGTTTTCTTCATCTGTTCTGTAGTTCACCTCAACTTTCATAAATCAGTCTACCAATAAGTCCACTCCCAAATATCATTTAATATCATTTGGGGTGGTAAAAGTACTACTTTATCTTCATATTGAATTGTACTTTTACAGCTTGGCAACACAATGAATGTAGTGATTTCCTTGCAAAATACATCTTCACCTGTGGTATGAATCTTTCTTCTGACATTTTTGAATCAGTCAGTAAACTAGTTGCCATCATCCATGCCATTATATTGGCCCTTCAAATAACTGGTAAAAAGGACTTATCCTCACACTTTGAAGCACAGATATTCATTGGTTACACTAAGACCTGGTGTGTAGTGGTAGAGAAGTATCAGATCATTTTCTCAGCTTTTAAATTGGGTGCAGTATTCTCTCAGTATATAATTCTTAATTGGGGTTTTTGGCAAATTCAGCAGGATCGTTTTCTGTGGCAACAGGGTCAGCACATACACTCTGCCAGAATATTTGACATAGTGATAAGTAAGACACACGTGCAACAGTTGATAAGTAAGGCAAATGCAATAGTTAGGTATCTTTATTCCAAAACATTTCCTTTACACAGTGGGCTTCTTCAGTTAAGTACAGAAGAAGCAGCAGAATCAGTAGAGACTATGTAATCTGCCCATCACCCTTGAAGATGTAGTTTTGAGGTGGTCAGTCCCTCAGCCTGGAGAAGAGTTTTGTTCCATAGTCTGGAACATTTAACAGTGTAGCTGATTTAACTACATTTCTCAATTTTCAGACCACCTGTTAGTAAACTTGCATTCCTTTAAAGGAAAACTTTCTTATTTTCATAGACACTGTTGCACTTTTTCCTGATAGAGGCATCAGGAAGGTTTTGCATATTTTATTATTAATCATTTAATATGTATTCATTTTTTTTTTAACATGTTGGCCATTTCCCACCAAGGCAGGGTGACCCAAAAAGAAAGAAAAAACCCAAAAAAGAAAGAAAAAACTTTCATCACCATTCAACACTTTTGCCATCAATCATCCATAATCACTGTCCTTGCAGAGGCGCTCAGATATGACTGCTTAGACGTCCCTCCAAACTGCCAGTATCCCAAACCACTCCTTTCAAGTGCAGGCATTGTACTTCCCATTTCCAGGACTCAGGTCTGATTAACTGTCCCTAAGTCCCTTCACAAAATGTTACCCTGCTCACACTCCAGCAGTTCGTTAGGTCCCAAAAACCATTTCATCTCCATTCACTCCTGTCTAACACTTACGCACACTTGCTGGAATTCCAAGCCCCTCGCCCACAAAACCTTTACCCCCTTCCGCCAGCCTTTTAGGGGATGACCCCAACCCTGCTTTCTTTTCCCTACAGATTTATACACTCTCCATGTCATTCTACTTTGTTCCATTCTCTCTAAATGACCAAACCACCTCAACAGCTCCTTTTCAGCCCTCTGACTAATACTTTTAGTAAATCCACACCTCCTCCTAATTTCCACACTATGAATTCTCTGCATAATATTTACACCACACATTGCCCTTAGACATGACATCTCTGCTGCCTCCAGCTGCCTCCTCACTGCAGCATTTACAACCCATGCTTTACACTCATATAAGAGTGTTGGTACCACTGTATTCTTGTACATTTCCTTCTTTCCCTCCATGGATAATGCTCTTTGTCTCCACAGATACCTCAATGCATCACTCATCTTATATCCTTCATCAATTCTGTGGTTAACCTCACTCTTCATAAACCCATCCACTGACAAGTCAACTCCCGAATATCTGAAAACATTCACTTCTTCCATCAATATTCATATTTGTATATAATTTAGTTTTGATAAGTATTTTATAATGGATGTGTTTTTTTTTTTTTTTTTCAGATGTCTGGCCTTAGCTCAGAAGAAAGCTCTGATGAGGGTGATGGTGGAAGTGGTGATCCAAGTTCCCCATCACCAATTGCTCCTTCACCACCAACACCACAGCTTCATCCGGTTGCACCTCCTCACTCAGAAACATCAGTGACTTCTGGATTTTCTCATATTCCCTCTTCCACTCCCATGGTCACAACATCATCTACCACTACTCCCACTCTTTCCATTACCACTGCTACCATTAACACTGCCATCATTACCAACACCACCACCTCCACATCAACCTCCACCACTAACATTACCATGGCCACTACCACCACCACTGCTGCCACCCCCACTACTACTACTACTACCACCACTGTCACTGCCACTGCTACTGCTACTTCTACTGCCATTGCCACTGCCACTGCCACTCCACCCCCTACCATCACCACTTATGCTGTCACCACCACTGTCACTACCTCTTCCACAACTCTGGCAGTTTCTTCCTTGCCCACTCATTCTCTTACAGTTACCACTGCTACTACTGCCACACCCACTCCTATTCCAGTTCCCATTCCAATTCCCTCTATCACTCCAATAACTTCAGCTCCTACTTCTACACCTACTACAACAATGCCTTCATCACCACCAGTAACTCCATCACATCTGATTCCCATATCTGTGTCATCATTATCTCCTGGCCCTCCACCCAAGCCTAGACAGTTGATGCCTACAGGGACAGTATGGCCAATCATGCCAGGCTCTCCTGCACCATCCAGTATTCCAGTTTCCACTGTATGTGGAGTAACTACTACTACTCAGGTTCAGCCAACATGGAGTAGTGTAGTGCAGTCTTCACTAGTAGCTGCTGCTGCAGTACCTAGATTATCTCCTGGAAGTTTAGTGCCTCCCCCAGCCCACAGTGGCTCAGCAGTACCAGCACAAGTAATAGGTCGCCTTACTTCAAGTGTGTCAACAACACAGTCTCCAATTGTTATCCAATATAAACCAGCAGTCATATCAGCTGCTTCAGTTATTTCTACTATGAGCAGTGTCATAAATCAAGGTCATAATAGACCAATAGTCACTGGTAACCGTGTTACTTCTGTTCCTCAGCTTGTGACCCCCAGTGCCACTAGACCAACCTCTCTCACTGTTGTAGCTCCTGTAGCATCAGTTGGACTAGCTGCAACATCACCAGTCACGACCACAACCATATCGAATGCAATGAGGCCTGTAACAAGTTTAGCTTTAGAAGAACGTGGGTCTGTAGTGAGAGCACCTGTCAGCAGTGTACCACACAGTTTGCTTTCCACGTTACCAGGAACGCCACCTGTTACTCAAGATAAACCTGTCAAAGTCAAATCAGAAGCTGAAGTTGTCAGATTTTCTCCAGGAATTCACCCAGCCCTAAGACCATCTGCTCTTCATGGCTACCCCCAAACAGGGACTTCAAATCCTCCAGTTAGCCAAGCACCCTCCTCTACTGTTTCTATAGCAAGAGGAAGTCCTGCACCTGCAGTGTACACTGTTGGAGTTACAGGAACTCCTCCAACATCCCTTCAATCAGTATCATCACGACCATCTTTAATACCCAGCTCAAGCTTGCCCCCGTACTCAGCCCCCACAGGAATCATTAAGCCAGAACATATAAAACGTGAACCTGAACTTGTACCAAGACCTGAAAAATTAAAATATGAGCAGCTTCCTCTCTCAACTGATGGATTTAAAAGTGAATTTATAAAGTCTGAACCAAAGAATGAGATTAAATTAGAAAGGAGTGATAGACCAGAAATTATAGCAGAATTCAAATCAGAATATCGCCAAGAAATTAAGCCACCAATCTCTAGTTGTCCTCCAAGTGTTACCTCTATGACAACTTTGTCATCGTTGCCTGCTCATCTAACTATTCCTGGTTATCCATACCCTTATGCAGCATATGGTTATCCACTTCCAATGCAGTATTATCATGGACATCCTCGTTCATCACATCGACCACAGTCACCCTCTCAACGTCCTAATAGCAATGGTCCTACTGTCCCTGTCTCTTCATCAGGAGGATCTAGTAGAGTTTCTCCTAACCCTGTACCTTTTTCAACATCATCTTCAACTATAACAACTTCATCAACTACTACCAAACCAACCCCAACACTAGGATCACATGTAGCTCCTCATCTAGGGCCACCAGTGTTTACTACTCGCTCAGGAGCTCCTCCACACCTTTCCTCTCCTAGTAAGATGCCAGCTAGTCAGCCATCACCTGTACCACCTGGTATGCGTCCACCAGGACCTGCTGTGGGTTTACCTGGAATGTCTCCAGGTTTACCACCTGGATTGCCTCCTGGTATGATTCCAACCTCATCAGGAGGACCTACACTACCAACCCCTCCAGCTGCTCATACAGGGCCTGTTGTTAAGCCACCTAGTATGCCTGTAAATTTAACTCAGCCTCCTACCCCTGCTGGCCAGCCACCTACCACCCAGGCCTTGCCAGCCACAGTACCACCAAGTCACCCAGCATACCCAGGAGGTCCTGCATCTACCCACAGCACAAGTAGCAGTGTTCACGAAGGAGAAGAACACGATGATGGTGATGATGATATACCGTCTCACAGAGAACCCTCCCCAGAACCAAAAATAGAAGACTCGGAATTTCATCGCTCCGAGAGTGCAATGTAAGTTTGCAGATGATCAAAGCTTGCAGATAATTTAGAATTTTTGTTGTTAATCAAATGTATTTGTTTTGATGATTGCTGTTTTACTAGATGTTATGCTTTTTACTCTGCTATTGCTTGCCTTGTTGAGTTGATCAAAAAATTTTAATATGTTATGTTATCTTTCCTCAGTAAACCATGCATGTCATAAGAGGCTACTAAAATGTAGGGAGCAAGGGGCTAATAACCTCTTCTGTTACTAAATGTAACAAGAAGAAAAACTTCATACAGTTTTCTTCTTTTTCGAGTTGCCCTGCCTCGGTGGAGTACGGCCGGTGTGTTGAAAAGATAAAAAATTAGAAATAGTTTTTACTCCTGCTCAAAATGAAAAAGCAGATGATAGATGTGTAGTGGGATCAGTGTTCAGTTTCTGTAGACATGTAGTGAAAAAAATTGGTGGGTTTTTACATTAATAGTATTGATCAAAACCTAAATATAATCAATTGAAAATTAAAAAGTAAATAATTCTTCTACATTAGTTAATTAGTTTAGTTGCAGTAGTTCATTAATTTTTAAATTTCACAATTGACAGTGAGCTAAGTAAAAGTGAGGCAGTTAAATATAAGGGAGGAATAGTGTAGCATTGGCCTGCAGATCATGAGCACAAATGTTTTTACAATACAGCAGTTGTAACCAAGAGTATCTACCAAAAAAGACACGTACAATTCAACACATTTATTGGAGGAAACCTTTTGCCCTGAGTGGCTTCTTCAGTCTAGTGGAGAAACATTTCCCCTAATATCCTGAACTGTACATAAGTGTCTTTTTCCACATCTTGTCGGTATTGCCATGCCATTTTTCAATACAACCTCCCCTCACTTAGTGATGTACTCATTTACGATGACTCGGACTTACAACGGACACTCTGACTAGTATGCATACCTAAATAATGTATATTAGAGCTGATTTCCTCTATTCTTTTTATTCCAGTATACAGTACACTAATTTATAAACATTTAAAACTATACTAAAAATGTTATAAATAGTGCAAAGGTGACATTAAAACAATATCAACGATGGTTGACACAAACCCACTACCATCATAGTATGCTCCTCACTTAGCAACAAATTCGTTTACTGATGTGGTCTTAGGAATGGAACTCAGTCATTAAGTGAGGAAAGGCTGTACTTACCAAGTCCACCAGATTGTGATGGACCTCACTGTTGGTACAAATAAATTTTTACGCTTCTCCCATTGATGTTCGTATATAGGTAACTGTGCTGCACATATAAAGAAAGCAGGTAAACAGTGTTTGAGTGGATATGTGCATATCTAGAACCATGGGTCATTTTGATTACTGCCTTTCATTCTTTATACCATGTTTAGGTTATACCTTGTACAGCAGTAAATTTACTCGGTTAAAAATACAGTATATATTTGGCTATGAATTCATTGACATATAAGTCTCTAGTAGTTTTTATGAGGCTTATAGTACACACTGCATTTCTGGCAAGTGTAAAAGGACACCAAAATTCCAGCATTATCATTTGGATAACAATACTGATGACTGCAGTATATAGAGTCATGAATGACTTCTAATGTGCATCTCCTTATTTAATGAAGTCACTGGCAATTGAGGCATGTACAGTATGCTTGCTCTGAAATATAGGAAACTAAATTAGTGCAAGATGTTCTATATTTCATATACTGTACAGTTTTTTTTTTTTTTCAACAAACCGGCCGTATCCCACCAAGGCAGGGTGGTCCAAAAAGAAAAATGAAAGTTTCTCTTTTTAAATTTAGTAATTTATACAAGAGAAGGGGTTACTAACCCCTTGCCCCCGGGCATTTTAGTCGCCTCTTACAACACGCATGGCTTACAGAGGAAGAATTCTGTTCCACTTCCCCATGGAGATAAGAGGAAATAAACAAGAACAAGAACTAGAAAGAATAATGGCAGAAAACCCAGAGGGGTGTGTATATATATGCTTGTATATGTATGTGTAGTGTGACCTAAGTGTAAGTAGAAGTAGCAAGACGTACCTGAAATCTTGCATGTTTATGAGACAGAAAAAATGGCACCAGTAATCCTACCATCATGTAAAACAATTACAGGCTTTTATTTTACATTCACTTGGCAGGACGGTAGTACCTCCCTGGGCGGTTGCTGTCTACCAACCTACTACCTATATACTGTACAGTTATGTAGCTTTAAATGCTCTTATAAATAATTTTTTTAATTATTTTTTCAAATTGCAGCTTCTTGCGTCACTGGAATCGTGGAGATTTCAACTCGTGCACTCGTACTGATCTCACCTTCAAGCCGGTTCCTAATAGCCAGTTAGCACGAAAGCGAGAAGAAAGGTTAAGAAAACAAGCTGAAAGAGAACGAGAAGAGAGAGAGAGAATACAGGTACAGTACTAAATTATTATTTTTTTTTATTTTTTTTATTATCACACTGGCCGATTCCCACCAAGGCAGGGTGGCCCGAAAAAGAAAAACTTTCACCATCATTCACTCCATCACTGTCTTGCCAGAAGGGTGCTTTACACTACAGTTTTTAAACTGGTAAAAAAAAAAATTGATCTCTTTCTCAGGCCACTTTTACCACATTCAAATATTTATATTTTTCATTATGTTCATTTTGAGCATCATGTACAGTACTAGTGTATTATAATGGTACTGAATTCTTTCATGATATCTCTTCTTTATTATAAAATGTAATTGTGTGTGCACACTGTCTCATTCAGTTTAAGAATACCATACTCCTTTTAAAGGCTGACTCTTCCACCAGAAAAATCTTGTTGCACCTTTGTACATTAAAGCTTCGCACAAGGTAATATTTTTGTGAAAGGATTCAGGGAAATTTGTTACTCGGATTTGAGTCCTGGAGGTGGGAAGTACAGTGCCTGCAATCTAAAGGAGGGGTTTGTGATATTTGCTATTTTGAGGGACATCTAAACTGTTGTATCTGCATAGAATAGTGATAGTGTGAATGATGGTGAAAGTGTTTCTTGTTTGGGTCACACTGCCTAAGTGGAAGATGGCCACTGTGTTAAAAGGAAAAGAAAATATAAACAAGAAAATTTTAGCTTTAATTGAAAAATTATCTGATTTTTTCTGGTTTGCAATTACATGTTAATGTTTTGTTGTATTTACAGCGGAAAGCCAACACCCCCGATAAACGGGATACCCCTAAGCCATCAAGCTCAGGTGAGAGTAGCTCACTTTATGACCGTATGCCACAGAGAAACCCAGTGGATACACCAGCTCTTTCAAGACTTGGGTAAATATACTCTGATCATTTTACAATATTTTGTATTTTTTTTATCTTGGATGTGTCACTGATTTTAAAATTTAATTAATTACAGCGTATGAAAATATGTAAATATTTTCCATAATTTCCATATAGCTTGAAAAGTTACAACAAATTTTGAAAGTCTGTATTTAATTTTTTCTTCTATTTTTATTAATACCTACCTTTACTTTTGATATACCTTCGATGAGTTCTGAGAGTTTTTCTTCTCTGGCAAGACAGTGATAGTGTGAATGATGGTGAAAGTGTTTCTTTTTTGGGTCACCCTACCTCGGTGGGAGATGGCCAGAATATTAAAAAAAAAATGTATAAATGTGTGAAAGTGTGATGATAGCACTTGGAAAGAGAGGGATAATATAATGTAATGTTGAAGTGAAAGGCAACTTTGAAGAGATAGAGATGAGAGGAAGATGAGTCGAGTTTCTGTGAGTGCAGATTAGAAAAAAATTCTTGGCATATATAAATCATAGTAAAAAATAAGAAAGGTAAATTAAGAATTTTAAAATGTGTTTATATTGTATAGGCAATACATACTGTGGGAAAGTTATATATTAATGTAGTTCAAGAAACGGATCTTGATTGGATGTTGAGGTACAGTATGTAAGAAAGGAACAACAGTAGGCTTACATGAAAGAAGGAAATAAGGAGATTAGTACATAATCATATACAATCAATGTAGATGGAGCATTTAGTGCATTGAATATTTTCCTCTATTCATAATATAAGTATTCAGTGCATTGAACATTTTCCTCTGTTCATGATATAATGCCCCTGTATCTGGAAAGCATGAGAAGTACAGATCCCAGTTAGTAGATTTTCCAGTTAATATACTGCACTTCACTCTTCCATCTTAAATTCTTTAAATACTGTACAGTGGTTACATTCATGGCAGTTACTTATTTGAGTTTGTAGGAAGTGTGTATTTACACTTTTCTTTGCTTGTGCTTTCATATGAATCTAAGTATTTTAGTTCCATTAGTCATATGTAATACTGCTGCATGAACTTTTGTGTGCTACTTATGACACAAAATCAGAACTGTTCTTTTTTTTTTTTCAAATATTGCCTTAGATATATATATATCATATATCACATGAAACTAATTTTTTTTTTACAGTGAGTATGCCCGTTCTCCTGCTGGGCTCTCTCCTGGTGGGGGCCGTCCTCCTGGTTTAGGCTTGCCTCCAGGATTAACTGGCGCACCACCACATAGTTTGGACTTGCTCCACTATGGCAGTATGGCAGCACTGTATCCAGCAGGATCTCAAGAAAGATTAGAGCTAGAAGCCAGGGAGCGTGAACTTCGTGAATTGAGGGATCGGGAGCTATCGGATCGTATCAAGCAGGAAATGCTGAAACGCCCTTTGAATCCAGCTGATGCAGCGTATCCCCATGGTCTGTCTCCGCACTGGCTAAGTGGTGGTCGCTTTCCGGGTATTCCTCCACCTGTATCTTTGGCTTCAGGATTCCCCCACACCCATGCTTTGTATCCACCAAGCCCATCAGTTTCCTCGGCCATCATTGCCTCTGAACGAGATAGACTGGAACGCCTGGGTAAGTACATCATTATGGTTTAATGTGAGGTTGAGGTAGCACACCTGAATGTGGTGCTGCATGACATTAGAACATTAGAAGTAAAGGCCTGTGGGGAAACTTTAACTAATATCTTCTTTTATATGCACCACACTTTAGTTTGATTCAGTTTCTATCCTCTCTTTTTAATATAATTTTTGTAACTGTATGGTCAATTCCAGTGAAGATTGATGCAAGAGGGCTCTTGATCCAAGGAATTAGCACTACCCTCCCTTTTCTTCAATGAAACCTGATTACCTCCCATTCCCCAGGCTATTATGACTCCTACAAGTTTAGTGCTTCCTCAAGAATATAATAATAAAAATGCAAAAAATATGACTAATGGTATTAGGCTTTATCATTCATGGGAGTTCTACAATGCTCCTTTTCTTCATCTCTTTCCATTTGCTATTGAGCTAAAAGGGGATTGTATGTTTTACAAATGTTCTCTGGTTGATTTTTTTCAGTTTGTTTTAGTGTTTTTTTCTGGTACAGTATTTGTACTTTTTCCAGAATTAAGCTATTTATTATTATTGTTTCTATGTACAGTACAGTGTATATTTTAAAATGACTTGTTTTCAGTGTTTTTATTTCTTGATGCAAGTAAATGGTAATTGTTTCACTCATAAGAAAGCTCATTTAACTTCATGAATTATCCATAATTGTTTTGAGCTTAGCTATAGGTAATTTTGCTATTGTAGATATTTTTAACACACTTGCCATCTCCTACTTAAGTAGAATGACCCAAAAAAGAGGAAAAGCATTCTGTTATTCAATCACTATCTTGCCAGAAGTGTGCTGTTATCACAGTTCAGATGGCCCTCCCAACTGCAGCATCCTCACCCTTCCTGAGAATGTTGGCACTTCTTTCCACCTCCAGGACTCGAGGCCAGCTAACCAAATTCCCTGGAATTTCCTCATAATGATACTTTGCTCATGCTTCAGCAGTATGCCCATTACAAGCCACATGTCTGCAGTCATTCCTAACATGCTCATGCAAGCCTGTTGGATGCTGAAGCCCCTGAAACTCAAAGCAGCCTTTAATCCCTCCCTCCATCTGTACCTGTGATGACCTCTACCATCTTACCTTCCACCCCTGATTTATACATCTTCATCATCATATCTGCTCCATTCTCTCTCTTTGCATGTCCAAACCACCTCAACAACCCTGCCTCTGCTCTCTGAATTATACCCGTAGTGACCTCTCATCTCCTTATACTAATTTCTTTGCTCCAAGCAATCACGCCTGTAAGCAAATATTGCTTAACCCTTTCAGTGACCATCATGAAGAACTAAATCATTGGGGCCAGGATCCCCCACGTAGTTCTACATCGTGAAACAAGATGTCAGAGAATGGCTCTGTGCAGTGAGTGTGCACAGTATAAAAAAAAAATCCTGCTCCATGCAGTGCATGATTGGTAAATTTGAGGTGTTTTCTCTGATGGATTTTATGATTTTATTGGTTTCTTGTATCTTTTGATAGAACAGAAGACATTCTGCTGAAATCAAAATGATTTTGGTTACTTTCAGGACCAGAAGTAGCTTGAAATTGAGCTCAAAGTAGTGGAAATGTTAGTTTTTTCCAATTTTCCTGTTGATGGGTAGGGCCTCCCTACACCCCCCAGTCTATTTTATGAATTTTAATAAGTTTGATTTAATTATTGGGACACTCTAAACTATAACCAATCATTCCTGTTTTTTTTTTTTTTTTCAACAAGTCGGCCGTCTCCCACCAAGGCAGGGTGACCCAAAGAGAAAGAAAATCCCCAAAAAGAAAATACTTTCATCATCATTCAACACTTTCACCTCACTCACACATAATCACTGTTTTTGCAGAGGTGCCCAGAATACAACAGTTTAGAAGTATATACATATAAAAATACACAATATATCTCTCCAAACTGCCAATATCCCAAACCCCTCCTTTAGAGTGCAGGCATTGTACTTCCCATTTACAGGACTCAAGTCCGGTTATAGAAAATAACCGATTTCCCTGAATCCCTTCACTAAATATTACCCTGCTCACACTCCAACAGATCATCAGGTCCCAAATACCATTTGTCTCCATTCATTCCTATCTAACACGCTCGCGCACACTTGCTGGAAGTCCAAACCCCTCGCCCACAACACCTCCTTTACCCCCTCCCTCCAACCTTTTCGAGGACGACCCCTACCCTGCCTTCCTTCCCCTACAGATTTATATGCTTTCTGTGTCATTTTACTTTGATCCGTTCTTTCTAAATGACCAACCCACCTCAACAAACCCTCTTCAGCCCTCTGACTAATACTTTTATTAACTCCACACCTTCTCCTAATTTCCACATTCCGAATTTTCTGCATAATATTTACACCACACATTGCTCTTAGACAGGACATCTCCACTGCCTCCAACTGCCTCCTTGCTGCAGCATTTACAACCCAAGCTTCACACCCATATAAGAGTGTTGGTACTACTATACTTTCATACATTCCCTTCTTTGCCTCCATAGATAACATTTTTTGCCTCCACATATACCTCAATGCACCACTCGCCTTTTTTGCTTCATCAATTCTATGATTAACCTCATCCTTCATAAATCCATCCGCTGACACGTCAACTCCCAGATATCTGAAAATATTCACTTCTTCCATACTCCTCCCCAATTTGATATCCAATTTTTCTTTATCTAAATCATTTGATACTCTCATCACCTTACTCTTTTCTATGTTCACTTTCAACTTTCTACCTTTACACATATTCCCAAATTCGTCCACAAACCTTTCCAGTTTTTCTTTAGAATCTCCCATAAGCACAGTATCATCAGCAAAAATTAACTGTGTCACTTCCCATTTTGTATTTAATTCCCCATAATTTAATCCCACCCCTCTCCCGAACACCCTAGCATTTACTTCTTTTACAACTCCATCTATAAATATGTTAAACAACCATGGTGACATTACACTTCCCTGTCTAAGACCTACTTTTACCGGGAAGTAGTCTCCCTCTCTTCTACACACCCTAACCTGAGCCTCACTACCCTCATAAAAACTCTTTACAACATTTAGTAACTTACCACCTATTCCATACACTTGCAACATCTGCCACATTGCTCCCCTATCCACTCTATCATATTTTTTTTTTTTTTTTCAACAAATCGGTCGTCTCCCACCAAGGCAGGGTGACCCAAAAAAAAGAAAGAAAATCCCCAAAAAGAAAATACTTTCATCATCATTCAACACTTTCACCACACTCACACATTATCACTGTTTTTGCAGAGGTGCTCAGAATACAACAGCTTAGAAGCATATACGTATAAAGATACACAACATATCCCTCCAAACTGCCAATATCCCAAACCCCTCCTTTAAAGTGCAGGCATTGTACATCCCATTTCCAGGACTCAAGTCCAACTATATGAAAATAACCGGTTTCCCTGAATCCCTTCACTAAATATTACTCTGCTCACACTCCAACAGATCGTCAGGTCCCAAGTATCATTAGTCTCCATTCACTCCTATCTAACACGCTCATGCACGCTTGCTGGAAGTCCAAGCCCCTCGCCATAAAACCACCTTTACCCCCTCTTTCTAACCCTTTTGAGGACGACCCCTACCCCTCTTTCCTTCCCCTATAGATTTATATGCTTTCCATGTCATTCTACTTTGATCCATTCTCTCTAAATGCCTTTTCTAAATCCATAAATGCAATAAAAACTTCCCTTCCTTTATCTAAATGCTGCTCACATATATGCTTCAATGTAAACACTTGATCTACACATCCCCTACCCACTCTAAAACCTCCTTGCTCATCTGCAATTCTACATTCTGTCTTACCTCTAATTCTTTCAATAATAACCCTACCGTACACTTTTCCTGGTATACTCAGTAAACTTATTCCTCTATAATTTTTACAATCTCTTTTGTCCCCCTTCTCTTTATATAAAGGGACTATACACGCTCTCCACCAATCCCTAGGTACCTTCCCCTCTTTCATACATTTATTAAAAAAAAATACCAACCACTCCAACACTATGTCCCCCTCTGCTTTTAACATTTCTGTCATGATCCCGTCAGTTCCAGCTGAGAAATAGAGCAGATCTTCTATTTTTGTATGATTATGAATTCAAAATGGAAGGAAAGTGTAATATAGGAGATGCCTGGGAACATGTTTAGTGAACAGAGGATATGTTGTTTTAGTGACAGAAATGTTTACATTATTTTGGTCTATTTTTAAATTTGTATTTTTTTAATTTTGTGTACAATTGATCAAATGACCGACTTCTGTGTACAGAATTTATAGGGTAGCTGAGATAGTTGAATGGGTGATTTCTTGTGCTCAGTCAGTAGAATTGAAGGCTAAGAATTTGGTTGATTTGATTATTGGAATTGGCTTAAAATAAGACTCAAAGTTGGCCAAATTGATGATACATAAACTGCTCTGAAAACGCTAAATTTCCCCGGGCATAATTCCGCTAATTTTCAATCAAATTTTGCATTTTTGGTGTCATTACCTTCAGGAGAAGATTCTCTACCATTTCAGAAGAATTTTTTTTTTCTTTAAGTGGACATTGAGGGCAATATTAATTTCAGGGGTCTGGACAGTGAAGGGTTAAAGACAGAGGCATCTGTCTCCTGTGGATACATTTCTGTTCCAAGTTAGTCTTAACAATAAGAAAGAAGATGACATTGAACTTTTTCTCAAATTTAACATGTATTTTATTATGGAAGATCAGTAATTTGTCTTATTAGACACTGCTAGAAAGATTTGTAAAAAATACTTATGCAGTTGTTCTTTGCAGTTTGATGTTTTGCTTTTTCAAAAAATCAGACAATTTGCGATTTAATAAAGTTATTGATTATTATGTACACATCTGCTTCTTTTTCTAGAGTTTTAAGTGCATGATTGTTAATTTAATCATTAATTTGTATAATCATGCAGTAAGATTCAAATTGTTATAGTTTATCATGATAAATTTAAGCTCTTAATTAGTAGCAAGAACACA